AACAGCGAAATAGGTGGGTAGAGCACTTTAAGGAACTCCTGAATCGACCAGCTCCACTGAACCCACCCAACATCGAAGCAGCATCCACAGATCTCCCAATTAATATTGGCGCGCCTACGATTGAGGAGATCAGTATGGCCTTCAGACAAATCAAGAACGGCAATGCAGCAGGACCAGACAACATTCCAGCAGAGGCAATGAAAGCAGATGTAGAAGCAACTGCGAAAATATTTCACATCCTCTTCAAAAAGATTTGGGATGAAGAACAAGTACCATCAGATTGGAAAGAAGGATACCTCATCAAATTACCAAAGAAAGGCGATTTCAGAAAGTGTTAGAGCTTAGAGGCATCACTTTTCTATCAATACCAAACAAAATCTTCAACAGAGTATTGTTAAACAGAATGAAGGACTTCGTAGACGCCCAACTTCGAGATCAACAGGCCGGATTTCATAACGATCGATCATGTACTGACCAAATTGCTACATTACGGATCATTGTGGAACAATCAATTGAATGGAACTCACCACTCTACATCAACTTCATCGACTACGAGAAAGCATTCGATAGCGTGGACAAGAAAACACTGTGGAGGCTTCTTCGACACTACGGTGTGCCTGAGAAAATAGTTAACATCATACGGAATTCTTATGATGGATTCAACTGCAAAATCGTGCACGGAGGTCAGCTGACAGACTCTTTCGAGGTGAAGACCGGTGTCAGGCAAGGTTGCTTACTCTCACCCTTTCTCTTTCTCCTGGTCATCGACTGGATTATGAAGACGTCACATCTGGAGGGAAGCACGGTATCAACTGGACAGTTAGGACGCAGCTGGACGATCTGGACTTCGCAGATGACCTGGCTCTTCTATCGCACACTCAACAACAAATGCAAGAGAAGACGACCAGTGTAGCAGCAGCCTCTGCAGCAGTAGGTCTCAACATACATAAAGGAAAAGCAAAATTCTCCGATGCAACACAAAATGCACCAATCAAATCACTCTTGATGGAAATGCCTTGGAGGACGTTATCACCTTTACATATCTGGGCAGCATCATCGACAAGCGAGGTGGATCGGATGCAGATGTGAGGGCACGGATTGGCAAAACAAGGGCTGCATTTCTGCAGTTGAAAAATATCTGGAACTCCAAACAACTTTCAACCAAAACCAAAGTCAGGATTTTCAATACAAATGTCAAGACAGTCCTACTGTATGGAGCGGAAACATGGAGAACTACCAAAGCCATCATCCAGAGGATACAAGTGTTTATTAACAACTGTCTAGGCAAAATACTTCGTATTCGTTGGCCAGACACCATCAGCAACAACGAACTGTGGGAGAGAACAAACCAGATTCTAGTGGAGGAGGAAATCAGGAAGAAGCGGTGGATGTGGATAGGACACACACTACGAAAAGCACCTAACTGCGTCACGAGACAAGCCCTCACATGGAACCCTCAAAGCAAAAGGAAAAGAGGAAGGCCAAGGAACACACTTCGCCGAGAAATAGAGAAAGATATGAGAGGAATGAACAAACATTGGACAGAACTGGAGAGAGAAGCCCAGGACAGAGTTGGTTGGAGAAAACTGGTTGGCGACCTATGCTCCATTGGGGGTAACAGGCGTAAGTCAAATCTTGTTTAGTGTTTTGAAAAATTTGCTCAGGAAACCTAATAATTTGAAGGTTTGAGATGAAACTTGATACAATTCCTACGAATACAAAATATTTTTGATACTTCTCTTTATTTATGAATGAAATTTTGTTACCAGAATTACGATTTCCGTATTCTATTGCTGAACTTATTATTTAAAAGCGTATAAATCGACAAGGCTTCCAGGTGCGAGAGCAGAAATTAGACTTAACACTGTCCAAATCATGGTATACATCGTCGAAAACGACGTTATTTATGGAGCCCAACACAGGTTTAGAAAAGAAAGACGTTGTTGTCTTTACTAAGTTAAAGAGGTACGCTAGAAAGGGTGTTACGTGAGCTGCATAAAGACCTCATAAAGAGGAACGAACTGTTGGTGGACTTAGGGCATCAATTGTTGTGATAATTATTAATCCAAAGGAGCCATAATTTACGCACAGCACGTCAGTTGCAGTCAAGGTTAGAAATGCATTGCTATGAAAGTTTTGTTGAGAAGGAAACGAATAAATTACACCCTCTACAATAATCTTTTCCTGACTGTTTCCGAAAAACGGGATCTAAAATTCTCATCACTAACCAGAGTTAAACAACAGCTCATAATACGCTTTGGATGAAACTAAAATTAAATGCAGTTGTTCGCTTCCTACAAGAACAACGTGATATGTTTCAAGTGACCCCAAAACTTTATTGGATGAGCACAAAAAGCTGTGATGTTCCACACTCTGAAACTGTTAGAAGCAATAAGGCGGTGTATACGTATTCGAGATGGTGTGGGACGAGGACACTTGCTTTTAGATAAACTTACTTACTTACTTACGCCTGTCAGCTTTGATGCTCTTCTTCACTTCCCTGTTTGCTTCTGTGTATGCAGCTTGTGCGGTAACTTTCTCCGCTCTTGTTCGGCTGACATTGATTGCTGCCTTCTTGTTCCTCCTTTCTTGAATTTTTTCAAGAGTACCAACAGAGATCCATTCCTTGTGATGGTGCTTCTTGCGACCAAGGACCTCCTGACATGTTGAAGTGATTGCCTCCTTAATCCCTTTCCAATTGTTCTCCAATGTTGCTTCCTCTCCATTGAGTAGATCCTGAAAGGCCTGGAACCTATTGGTGAGGGCTATCCTGAATACGTTGAGCTTTACAGTATCCCGAAGAAAGGCCGTATTAAACTTCTGTGATGTTGTCTGTCCCGTTGTCCAGTGCTTCTTTAGTTTCAGTTTCATTTTGGCGATTAGCAAATGGTGATCTGAGGCTACATCAGCTCCTCTCTTGGTTCTCACATCCTCCATAGTCCTTCTGAACTTTTTGTTGATACAGATATGATCAATCTGGTTTTGAGTAGTGTTGTCCGGTGATATCCATGTAGCTTTGTGTATGCGTTTGTGCGGGAATATTGTACCACCGATGAACAGTTTGTTGAATGCACATAGGTTTGCAAATCTCTCACCATTTTCGTTTCTTTCTCCCTGTCCGTGTCGTCCCATGATGTCTTCATATCCAGTGTTGTCCATTCCAACCTTGGCATTCAGGTCTCCCATAAGATTCGTCAAATCGTTTGGTGAACATCTCTCGACGATTGACTGCAGCCTTTCGTAGAACTGATCTTTAACGTCGTCATCGTAGTCATTGGTAGGTGCATAACTTTGGATGACGTTCATTGTAATGTCCTCCGGCAGTAGAATCTTTGGGGCTACTGCCGGTCCCAAGCCATGGTAAAGGAGGGGGTTGGACATGATGTTGGCCACCCCATTCCGTCATAAACTAACTTGCCAAAGCACACTAACCGGAAAAACTACTTCAAACCATTTGCACTCTACCCTGGGAGTTGGAGGAAGAATTATGACGTCGCGTGATGAAAGCCGAGTTCCCTCGGAATTCACGGAGCTGATGCCTCTTCTGACAACCAGAGCAACCATTATTTAGGTACATGGAACGTTCGTGCATTGTGGGAGACTGGAAGACTATTTCAAGTTGCGGCAGAAATGAAAAGATACTACCTCGAGGTGCTTGGAATCAGTGAAACACATTGGACACAGGTAGGACAACTGAGACTAGCTTCAGGGAAACTGCTGTTATACTCTGGTCATGAAGAGGAAAATGCTTCACATACACAAGGAGTTGCACTGATGTTGTCCAAACATGCACAAAAGGCACTAATAGGATGGGAATCTCATGGACCCAGGATCATCAAAGCATCCTTCAAAACAAAGAAAGAGGACATTACAATGAACGTCATCCAAAGTTATGCACCTACCAATGACTACGATGACGACGTTAAAGATCAATTCTACGAAAGGCTACAGTCAATCATCGAGAGATGTTCACCAAAGGATTTGACGATTCTTATGGGAGACCTGAATGCCAAGGTTGGAATGGACAACACTGGATATGAAGACATCATGGGACGACACGGACTGGGAGAAAGAAACGAAAATGGTGAAGTGTGAAGTAAACAGTTTTCAGAACTGAAATCATGCAAGAGCAAGCCTTAAATTTGTATGGGACAAAAAACCCCAAGCACACCAAAAGTAATTATGTTAATGATTAAGCATGCAAGTTCGTTAAATGAACTTGTTTCACTACCGAACGAGAGAATTCTGGCTCTACCCAAAGGTGAGTAAATGGGCAGCACTAGTTAAGAGAGGAATGGATATGTCAAGTAACCAAATCAAAAACATTTAGAAAACATGCTAACATCAAGGCTTACAGAAATGAGAATGAAGCCTGTTTTAAATACGTGATTCCAAGAGTTTACACAGATATTCTTATGAGCCTGAGTGATCACTTACCACAGACCGCCTCAAACAGCACAATTTTCTAACATCTAACATTCCCTTTCCTGTCCCCATACCACTCCAGCAATGTTAGGTGATATCGGAACATTCCACAAAAAAGCCACCTCTCATCCTTCACTCTGATTGACTTCATTTTATCAGTGTTGTAGTGTGGAAACAAAACTTCCTGAAAGCTGAAACCAAATAGTTCTCTAACTCCATCAATTGAATCAGTATCACCTATCAGGTACGAATCAAAATTTCAGAGTTATAAGGGAAATCACACAAATATTTCATTTATGTATTCTGTGGATTATTTTTATAAGTTTAGTGCAACATTCCAAGTGATAATCTACGTCCTAACTTCACTTAAAAAGATTGGAGATTGAATATTTATCGACTATGCAAAAGCCTTTGACACAGTACCCCACGCACGCCTAATCGAAAAGGTTGTGGAAATGGGCTTCACCGACTGACTCTTTTCGTGGCTCAGAAACAACCTTGAGAATAGAAAGTTTCGTACCAAGGTAAATAGAGTGCACACGGGCTGGCGAGTATCCACATCAGGAGTTTCTCAGGGGAAGATCTTAGGCCCACTTCTCTTCCTGATATTTATTAACGACCTGTTAGGCTTATTTAGCTCACCGGCATTGATCTATGCAGACGATTTGAGGTCAGTTAGAAGCGAAGAGGATTCGATTGAACTTCAAAAGGACCTTACATCTATTAGAAATGGGCAGTGAAAAACGGTTTAAAACTCAACCAAACAAAGTGCCACGTCATGCATATTCTGTCTCATACGACGCAAACGACGTATACCCTCAATGAAAGTCCGCTCCCTAATGTCTCCTCAGAGCGCGATCTCGGTTCAATAACCACAGAAAGCCTCCACACGAGTCCGAACTATGTAGGGGACGCAGCCAAGGCAAATGCGACTCTTCCCTTTATGTGAAGACAACTTGGTGCTATCACCCCGCAATTATTCATAACACTATTTAAGACGTACGCGCGCCCATACCTGGAGGTCCACTATGCCATTGCACCCCCTCTGCATAAAATAGACATTAATCTCTTGGGTCGAGTGAGGAGACGAGCAATCAAATGGGTGATAGGGTTGAACAATAAACCTTAGGACGATGGACTCCAGATCTTGGGATTATTTTCACTGAGCTACAGGAGAATCAGAGGTGATCTGATTATGGCGTACAACATATTAATCTTCATTACTAATGAACAAACTAAATTCATCTATATATTACTCAGTTTTGAAATTTTATTCATATTAATATTAGAATTTTATCCTCATTATCCTTATTACTCTCCACATTGCAACTAACTGATCTCAGATCTGGTAGTCGTGAAAAAGATATTGGATATTGAAGAGCTAATGATCGGGACATTTGGATAACCTTTATTAGCGGCCTAATTGTATAGAGCTTTCTTAAAAATGCCTACCACGAAAGGTGATGCTATGCGGGGTTTGGCCGTATTTATTTCTGACATCCGAAATTGCAAAAGCAAGGAAAGTGAAATACGCCGGGTTAATAAGGAACTTGCAAACATTAGATCAAAATTTAGGGGTAATAAAAATATATTTATTAATGCTTTGTAGGCGATAAAACTTTGGATGGTTATCAGAAAAAGAAATATGTCTGTAAATTGCTCTTTATCTTCCTTTTGGGTCACGACATCGATTTCGGGCATACTGAGGCAGTCAATCTACTTTGCTCAAATCGATATACTGAAAAACAAATAGTAAGAATTTTTGTGCACTATAACACCTGAAGGGTTATTTATTCATATCGGTACTCATCAATGAATCCCATCCACTGATGAATCTGGTGATTTCACGTCTTAAGGATGATCTGAATAGCCGAAATCCTGTGTTTATGAATCTTGCATTGCAATGCATCGCCAATATAGGGAGTCGTGAAATGGCTGAGAACTTTGCAGATAAAATTCCTAAATTACTTGTCTCAGGGTATGTAATTGCTTATTTATTGTTGGTTTTAGTGATACAATTGACTCAATCAAGCAAAATGCTGCCCTCTGTCTTCTGAAGTTAATCAGGGTTGCTCCTGAACTAATAACGTATGATGATTGGACCGTAAGAGCCATGCATCTACTTAATGACCAACACTTGGTAAGTTTACTTGATTAAGTAATCTTAAAATTAATGCTTGTGTGCTACGTATGAGATACATTAAAATCAAATCTAGTGCACTACCTTTATAAACTAACCGGCTTTCAGTTACACATTTTAATGTCAACAACCGTATTCTGGTGAAACAGTATTCTTAGTGTGGAATAAATGCTGGTCATTCTAGCCCATATAAAGTTGGTTGAAGCCTATAGTTTGACAACTTTGTCAGTTGTCGACATATTTGTTAAACATCTACGTCATTTGAGTACGCGTTGTATACTTGTAGATAACTATATGTTTTCTATTAAAGCGGTCGCACACATCAGCATGTAATCCTCGTTTGACCGAAAAAGCGAATACATTTATGTAGCCTGACTTGTTTTTTATTCCAATATAACGCACCAAGCATAGATGTGCTTCAAAGAGTACTCTTTGTGAGTACTAATAGGGATGTCCAACTGCTTAAATTGAAAGGAAACGGAGTTCATACTAATAGTCCTTTGGCTAAAGGTCAAGACCATCGACCTATAGATCAAAGCCTTTGACTTTTAAACTATTGACTTTGGTTGTAAAACCCATTCATGAAAGGCATTCTGGAAAGCAGTACTGATAACCTATTGTCACAGTTTTTTTATATAACTTCATGATTGATAAGATATAAATTCTATTTACTTTTCAAGTATATTAAGTCATAACACTTAGGTTTTTCTCACTTCTTAGGGTGTTGTAACATCAGCCGTTAGTCTGATTGATGCTTTGGTGAAAAGAAGCCCAGAAGAACACAAAGGATGTATATCTCTTGCAGTTTCACGCCTTAGCAGAGTAAGGTTTTTCGTTGTGATATGTTTATTTAACCATTAATTGTTTTACTATTATTATTGTTTATTTTTTATGCTTTCACCCATTTATATCTCAGGTATTGCTTAAGTCACTTAGAATTGCATCATATTCTAATCCACTCTGCATACAGCGTTGTACAGGTCTAAGAGACTAGATAATTTACATTTAATGAACCTACGATTACTGTTTATTGATTCAATTTATTAATAGTTCACTACAACTCGATTCTTTGCTGTCATTTGTTATTTATTCGTTCAATATATTTGTTCAGTGTAATCATTTAAATCCTAATTAATTGAGTTTACTTTTTTGTCGTTACAAAGTCAATCTGCGTTGTGTTCGTTAACTGTAGTAATATTTTCAAAACTACGTGGCTAGGAGCGGGTCATAACATTGTTATGTATCTATTTCAGGCAGTAAGAGTGGTAGTTTGGTTTTCCATAAAAATGTATTCTTTTACGATTTATCTAGTAGTTGCTTAGCTGACTTACTATTTTTCATATTGTGCATTTCAAAAATTCATGTAGTTTCCCATATTTCATTCCAGTTAATTACATCGTCCTATACTGATCTACAAGACTATACCTACTACTTTGTTACTGCTCCATGGTTATCTGTCAAGTTATTGCGTCTACTTCAGAACTATCCACAACCAGGTATGATAAAGTATTATCATGGTGTTACATTATGTGATAAAATATACTGTTTTGTGATTGATTATTTGATACTATGCATTTTGAAACTTGAATTTTTTTTATCTAGAGGACACTACAGTTCGTGCTAGGCTTGCCGAATGCCTTGATACTATCTTGAAGAAAGTTCAAGAAGCTCCAAAATCAAAGAAAGTACAGCATCCAAATGCTAAAAATGCTGTTCTTTTTGAAGCAATCAATCTTATCATCCATATGGATTCTGACCCTAAATTACTCGTCCGTGCTTGTAATCAACTTGGGCAGTTTCTACAGCACAAAGAGACTAATCTTCGTTATCTAGCTCTCGAATCATTATGTTTGTTGGCTACGAGTGAGTTCAGCCACGAGGCAGTTAAGAAACACCAGGAAACCATTGTAAATGCACTTAAAGTAAGTCCTGTTTACATATGTGTTTGTTATTATTGTGTTACAACCGAATGTTACAGCCAAATATTAGTATTGTTAAGAAGTTCATAGGTATTCACTGTGAACTGAAGTAATCACTTTGATCGTTTACTACACAACTAACGTCAATACTCCGATGGGATCTGAATAGGCTTTTAGTTTGGTTAACTTCCAACCAAACATCCAAACAATAATTTAGCTTATTACTTTCATGATAGGTGTTAACATTAACATGCTTCTTCACCAAACTGTTTGTTCAGCCTACCGATCATGTTACTGTCTGGTTACCTATCTAAGTGATTTGACTTGGTGTTCACTATGTTTTGATATTAGGTTGTTAAAAGGCAGTTAGCAGGGAACTGTTGACTTAGGTAATCTATTAATCTGTCTTTATGCCTTTGATTTCCCTGTTTCAGAGTGAACGGGATGTTTCAGTTCGTCAAAGAGCTGTGGATCTCTTATATGCTATGTGTGATCGAACTAATGCCCAAGCTATTGTAGGTGAGATGCTCAGTTATTTGGAAGTAGCCGACTATGCTATCCGTGAAGAGATGGTATTAAAGGTTGCTATATTGGCCGAAAAATATGCAACTGACTATTCGTGGTATGTGGATACTATACTGAATTTAATAAGGGTTGCTGGTGATTACGTAAGTGATGAAGTTTGGCATCGTGTCATCCAGATTGTTATAAATCGTGAAGATGTGCAAGGGTATGCTGCGAAGACAGTATTTGAGGTTAGTGTAACTTTCTCGTTTTTGATTAATGTTCAGTTATTTACACTATGATAGTTCTTTCCATTATTTTAAATTGGTGCTAAATTACTGTAGATTAGAAATAACTTGATGGTTTAGGTAATTCAGCTGTTATACTAAACAAAAAAGGCACACTTGACTGTTTCCTTCCTTCTTCTCGTTAGTCATAACCATGTTTAAATGATTGATATGTTCTCATTGTTAGCACAATGTTGATATCATATGAGTGTGTAAATTGGAAGCATTTCATCTATTCTACCACATGAAATTCCATATCAAATAGTTTCTAACTTGGGCTTGGTAAACGAAATCAGACAACCAATCTACTATTACCGTTATTATTACCATTATTATTATTATTGCTCTGTTATTATTATATAGCCGTCCTATTTTTAATTTGATTTGCACATTTTTCTCACTTACTGTAATAAGTTTCTTCTTTGTCAGACTACTTATCATGCTAAATAACACCAGAAACAAAGATGAAATGAAATCAAAATAAACAAAAACGACTAAATATAATTGATAGGATAGGTTATACATGATCGTAGACTGAAAAATTCTGCTTGTTTTTTGTCACATTGACTATAATCTATTGTTTTTTTTTTACAAAAAATCTTCACCCTTATTAAACCTCTGTTTTGGTATTGTTTCGCATTTTTTTCCCGTTTGTACAGTTCATAGTATCATTTTCTCAGGTTTTCTAACATCCATTTTTAACAGGAAGAAGAAACATTCCTTTCAGTTGACTGATTCATCTAATAATACACTGTTTGTCCATTAGTCTTACACATATTCTTTAGATATAGATATCTTGCATAAGCTTCATGAACTGTTATATAATTCAAGTTATGATTACTAATATTTGCCATTATTATATATTTATTCCCTCTTCTTTGCTTCTTATATCTTATTAATTTGTCTCTCTATGCTGATATAGTGTGACAACTTCAACCGATACATATTCATGCTAAGTCCAAAATTGACGATTATATAATTACTTTGTTATTATTGTTTGCAATTTATCGTAGCAATGACTGAATTAATTCTCATTCATGATAAAACGATTTTTAAAAATATGTTTCACTCCTTTGATAATCATTTTTAATTTAAATAAATTACAGGCTCTTCAAGCTCCTACTTGTCATGAAAATATGGTTAAAGTGGGTGGCTATATTCTGGGTGAATTTGGTAATCTGATTGCAGGGGATCCGAGATCAGCGTAAGTTTTCAAATTATTCAGTTTTTCTCGTCTTTTGGGGTGGAAAAAATTAACGTTTTCATGAACGGATATATTTTGCGATTCTACTGATAGGAATACATCTGAAATAAAAGAACCTTAATTTTAAAAATTTGTGTTATATGTTCGTTAAAATTTTTTAAAAGTTAGATTTATAAGACTAACTACATAGTCCATTATCGTTTCTTGAAGTGCAAATGTGGCATGACGGTTAGCGTACTTGTTTTCTAACCGACGTGGCTACAAGTTCGAACCATACTCTACTTAGGTCTAGGCAATTTGTTAGTATCACTAGCTCTCACGTATTTTACAACTAACGTTTCATAAAAATGGTTTTGAAATGAGTTATGATACACATTGGTGGTTACTAAAATACCAAACAATACTGATCAATAGATAAAACTCAGTAGTACTGTAACATAGCGATAATTACCTATACAGCTAACTTATTGATGTAACTCCTCGAGTTAGCTCGAATAAAAAAAACGTGAAAATTAACAAAAAAAGTTGTTTATTTTTCCAGTAAAATAACATACCTGCACCCTTAATATTAGCTCCGAAAATAAACAATTAAATGTCATTATTGACTAGAATCTCCATAGTTTTACAGGTCATTCGTACACTTATGAACTAGGAACTGATCGTTAGCCTTAATTATTTTGCTTCTTATCCATTGACTTTAAACTTGAGCACACATTATAAAATTTGATAAGTTCCATCTTATTCCACGCTTTTGAAAATCTGCTTAAAACGTGCAGATTCGTTTTTAAGGGCGATCACTTTTTTCAGTGTATTAGTAAATTCTGTAATATGATATTATAATTAATAATCCATATAAGTTTAATGACCTACTTTCTACATATCTACAAAATAGACTACACAACATCTACATTGTACGTCATTTTAGTGTAACTGTCGTAATTTGTGTAGGCTCAAAAACTGAAATAACCTAACAATTGGTTGGGTTGATAACTACACATTTCACTAGGTACTGTTATAAATCTTGTGCTACCAATTATCAACAATTAACTATTTTATTACAATAAGTTATTTTGTCATAGTTTACAAAAAGTTAATGGCGATTCTCGATTATTTTAACTCTATTAATTGTTTTTTTTCTTGTAAATTTACTTCGTTTTGTTTTTTTTTTCTCCCAAAGACCTAAGGTACAATTCAATTTATTGCATAGTAAATTTCATTTATGTACTTCAACTACACGTCAACTATTATTATCTACATATATGAAGTTTATTAATTTATTCCCAGAAATTAAATCTGATATTCAATCTGTACTACAAAATGACAGTAATTTGCGTAGTTCCAATGTAGAAATACAACAACGAGCTACTGAATATTTAGCATTATCACGAATCGCTACAGATGATGTATTGGTTAGTCGTTTTTTTAAAAATTATAATTATGATAAAATAAATTATCTATTCTGTAAATCATTATTGGTGAAAGTAAAATTTATAGCAATTACAAACACTTTATTATAATGGTTCGTAGAATACAGTAGCCCGGTCTATAGCTCTATGGTCTAGTAAGATTGCTAATAGCAGATCTTCCGTTTAAACTGTTTTTTTCTGCTTTTATTGTTAGTCTTTACACCATGTGATATCTAATCTGTCGAACAAATAAGTGTTGGTGTGTAAGGGGTCAAAATTGATCTAATGAGTAACTTGAATGTTGGCATGGATAACATTTACATTTTAGATTTGGAACAATAATAATATAATAGTCGTTGTGTACTATCACAGCCTCGTGTTGCTAGCATTTCACACTTGTCCCTTGGGCTTTGCGGTTACGCTCGTAGGTCGCTAAGACTAATACTAATCCTAATTCTTTTTCAGGTTCCTCAAGAAACACCCTTCCATGGTGTGAGCAGCCTGGTAGTGACATCCGCACCCATACCCATAACAGCACAGGAGACCAAATTGGTCACAATCAAATCCTTATGCCTCTTAACAACTCTCTTATCTGCACAACCAACCATTTCATTCATTTATCACCCGGTGTTGTTGATGCAAATGCATCGAGAACACGAAACGTTATTTCTGGTCTCTTGAAACCCCGCTCCAAACGTAACTGGTTTATCTAAGCTTGTTAAATGTGTGTGAAAAAACGGATTGATTTGAAGGCTATATATTTTGTCAGATTCTATTGAATATGAAAATTTTCAAAAGAACTTGATTTCAGAAAGTATAGATTTTGTACCATTGTGTATTTCACTGTTGATTTACGAGCGAATGTACCCAGCATGAATCATAATTATATTCATGACAATGATTGCAGACTGTAGGAAAATCTTTATTATTAGTCTGCTATATTTAGCACGGGTGCATTCACTCTTTGTCGTCCATTAAAACTTTTTTTCTATTTTCTGATGCCTAAACTTTTCCAATATTCCTGATGCTTTCACTACTTCTGTTACTTTTGGATTTATCTTAATAGTTTTATCTCTCTGTACCCATGTAGTATGTCGACCTAGACCGATGCACATATATGTTAGGTTCTACGTTGCACATGGCTGACTAACTATACAACCATTCTACTACTATCATTCGCGTTTAACATATTGTAGGTTTACACGAAATTCTTAGAAGTGTATCGAATGTCGCCAAAACTTTCGTCATGCACCATCTAAACTGTCCTTTATAGCTAAAGTTAACATTTCAGATCTTAAATTCTGCAGCTGGTGATATGTCTTAATAATTTCTTCAAAAATGATATTTTATAACTGCAGTACTGTAGCAGCAGAGTACAAACCAAAAATATGACAAAATAAGATCAATCAGTTCAATATCTCTTCAATTAGCTCTCTTTTAGTTGAATCGGTTGTTTAATAGTCAGTCAGTCAGTCAGTTACAACGTAGAACTTCTTACGTACGTACATCATTTCAGGTTGCCACACCGCATTGGCACAGAGACGCAATTGTCAATTCAAATCCCATAGTAGCAGAGATAGTAGAAGTATTAGCAGTAATGGAGAAGATTAGGGTTGGAAGATATTGTTCGATAAGTATAATTCAGTGAGATAAATTTAGAGAGAGAAAGATATAGATGATGAGGAATTCAGAAGGTTTGTTAGAACTGTCCTGTGTAAGTAACTTCTTTTGATTTTGAGTATCGAGTTGTATATTAGAATACAAGTTGAACGATTGAAATAAAATCTGTGTTTTACAAGGTTTGTATCATTTCCTCAGTTTTATACACATAGACCTGAGATGATTAAAGTGATTGTTTACATTTATGCGCACCATAGATGTGTAGATTTTGTTAAGTATCCATGTTTCTTGTGTTTTATTTATAGCGTAACATTACAAAGACAACCGAATGAAATTAAAAATTTAGTGTATATCATATTTGACTGAGTTTTGTTCAGAAGACAGACAGAGTTTTGTTCAATACACATAACAGGCTTGTTCCCGCTAGCTAGTGTTTATTGATTCTTTTCTCTACAATCTTTTATCTTTTCCTTTTGAAAGTGTTTAATAAGTAATTTTTGAAAGTTAAATATTTCAAACTAGATTATATTGTGCAAAATCAGGAGCTAACGTGTACCTTAAAATGCTATTATTTTCGAAATTGAATTGTCTCATTCTGAATATATAGAATGTAGTTTTCTTGAAAAATTACTACGATGAAATAATTCAGTATTTATGAGTTTATAATTAACTATCAATTCCCAAATTCATAGTTACGTTTATCCTCTGTGGCAGTACTTATTTTCCTATACTTTGAATAAAATTGAAGCGTTGAGCATATATATCTTAATCAATATTTTCTCATCTTGTTCATAAACAACAAATGTATCTGGGTTTTTTTTATGTTCGTCTAATGATTTCTCTTTCTTTTTTAATTCCTTATGCATCGATTTTCTATGATGTGTTCATCATTTACATTATCTCGCTTATTTTCAGGCAACTGTACTAGAAGAAATGCCACCATTCCCAGAACGTCATTCTAGTATTTTAGCTAAACTTAAAGCTAAAAATCCTAATACTGATGGTACAATAACAAAATCAGAAGCGGTTGGAGATAGTTATGCTGTGAATTCAGCTAAAGTTAGTTTTTCAATTGTTTTATTATCTTGTATTTGTTATGTGTGTATCTCAGTAATATGTTTTGTTTTTATTCTTTCATTTTACTTCCATTGAGATGATACATACATTTCACATTTACCGAGTTATGTTTGATTTATTGATTTTGACTCCAATCGTGGTACACTATTTTGGAATAATGGAATAATTCAGTCGCTTTCATTACAACAAACAAAGCAGATCGTAACCATTATTCAGAATAATATAAACAATTCAGTTGATTTTCCTTTAAAATTGAGGTTATTTCTCGTAGGTCACCACATTGTTTTTATCCGGTAGTTGAACACTGGGAAAACGTTGACCCTTAATATCTGTGACTGTTTTAGGCAGTGTGTCCATTCACTAACAATAGTTGGAGCCTTAGCATGACAAGGCTCAAAATCGTTTGCAATAGTGTAGGTGCATCCATTGTTTGTGTTCGCTCAAGTTCTAATCTCCTGGATTCCTCATCACCTTTGTCTTTCTCTTTTTCAAATTTATTTCATTGAATTATATTTCCTGAATAATATCTTCAAACCATAATCCTTTTGATTATCGCTAATACGTCTATCGGATTTGAAGTGACAATTGCATCTCTGTGCCGCCATGGTATGGCAAGTTGAACTGATATGCGTACATATGTACAAAGTTCTATGTTATAGCTGACTATGCATTCACTAACCCTTTATTTTCAGCTAAAATTATAAACACAACACTAATCTTTCACTCATTGATTTTAATACATACAAAATTACAAAAATTGACAACATTTAATAATATGTAGGTTAAATAAACATAAAATCAATCAGTTAATCAACAACAACGTAGAACGTCATACTTATGTACATCAGTTCAAGTTGCCATGCTACATTAGCACACAAATGCAATTATCAATTCAAATCCCATAGTGAAATAAACTTAAAATAAAAAGATAAAAGTGATGAGGAATTCAGAAGGTTAAAATTTGAGCGAACACAAAGAATAATTGCACCTGCACCATTTCAGACGGTTTTGAGCTATATCATTTAAGGTCTCTAACCATCGATTACTATCATCTCACCGACCTCAACCAGGTAGTCGACACCTGCCAGCATGACTCACTTCACTTGTCAGTGATTTCATGGATTTGTGACATGTTTTGGTTTGGCCGCCCCTAGCTTTCTTCCAACTTATTCCTACACCACAAAACATAGCTCGACGAAGCAGTCAGTGGTTGGGCATTCGTAACGCATGTCCCAACCACCTCAACTGAAAAAAAATTTCATTACTTCATCTATTGACCTGTCATCCCTATCTAGCACCCGTTTCCTAACAACAGCATTACTTACTCGATTGTCCCAAGATAAACGAGCAAATAAACATAAAATCTTCACTTCTTGGTTGTGTATCTACATTGTCATTGGTACATGATGATAGGTTAGCAATTTACATATATTACCAACTGTTGAGCATTTGTTTTTTTCTCTCTCGCTCAAAGTTTTCAATCTAAACTCTAGACACTACCAAAATCTAGTGAAAATGCTAATTCTGATACTGGCTGGTTAGTGAATCTTGTTTACTTGAATCGCTTAATAATCAATAAATTATGGATGCATAATTTATTTATTTATTTTTTTAACAAATTATATAATTATGCGTATGAATTTCTTAATAATCAGTTAAATACTTCGAATCATCACACATACAATAACTACCCTATTCTTAATCTGATGATTAAAATATCATAGTAATAATAATAATTATTATCATATAGTATGATTTTGTGATTTGGAAACATTGCAAATCATAACATATTGATATAGATTTGTGATACAGACGCTAGGTAGCTATTTGAAATTCTACGGATTGACCAAATTCAAATATTCCAATACGACTCTAAATACTATTCCCAAATCTCCTATATATCAGAACACAACACCGTTAGATGACGTTGTTTATAGGTCGAGTGCAGTAGAGATGAAGGCAGGAAGGAATGGAATGGAATAGCTTTACAGTGAATGCGTATTTATACATTTAGGTCGGAATAGGAAAGCATATTGAAGTTTGTGACATTGACAGTTTAGATGACCAATAGGAAACAACATTGGAGTACGTGACATTGGTATCTAGGACAACGTGAAATTGACCAGTAGGAATTGATCAATAATTAATTCTCTTAGGATATTGGATGAATATCCTAACAAGATATATTTACCTCATCGATTGATTTGTTTAGTACTTTAAATGATCACAAATCTAATGGTCCATATTAGGGAAAAAATTCTCTTCATTGAATGAATCCATGTTAAAGAATGCGTAAAGATTATTCATAATGATTACTATCAAATAGGAATGATTGTTCTGTCCAGATGTTTACATTCTTGGTCGGATGTTCACTTAACTTATTAATTTCTGTTTAACTAAATAGTATCCAGTTGTTAATTATTTATCCATGTGTGTAGCATAGCGTCTGCCTTCGTCTAAATATTTTTTTGCACACTTGAAACGTTTGTTCAGCTTAAACAAATGTATATATATATATATATTTCAAAGTAAACTGAGTTAAAAGAAAGGAGGTAGTTTTCATCACTGACTCATA